TCAAAAGATACTGAAGAAGGGTGCAGCAATTATTCAGATTTATTCCAAAAATTATTCCTGCTCACTGTATATAACTCTCCTGCTCTTTTTCAAAATATACTACAGAAATCTCTTTTTGCTTATTCTGCATACTATAATACATATCCACATACATTTATAGATGAATTCTACTATGCATATACAAAAATGTAATATGAATACTATTATACCTATTTATATAATAAATATATTACATTTTAATAAGGTTGATAGTTAAGTCAGTTTATACGATCCCCCTCCTAACAGACAGCAAAATGTTCAAAGAACATCTGAAATGTAATATATATCTTTCTGATCAAGGATAGTGCTATGATAAAACTTCCCATGTTTTAGTGGGGGAACAAACTTTCTTAAACCATGTAAAAGACAATTTTAGCAATAAATGATGAACAATTAATTACTCTTCCATATACCACTATTCCATGCTATAATTTTTGAACCTCCTAACAGTTCCCTAATCTTTAATATCATATTTTCTGGTAATTCACTCCTCACTATTAAAGAGCAAAATATCCTACTCAAAGTGTAGTTAAATTGTTACCTGTCAAAACTGAGATTAATTATGAAGTGAGGTCTCAGAGAGGTCTCTCCTGAGTTTGGTTCCGTTCGATATTTTCATTAACAACTACTAAGATAATAGAATAGACACTAATAAAGCTCGTAGATGACACCACACTAGAAGCAGTTACAAGCACTTTACAGGAGAGCAATGAAACTCAAAATGATCTTGATAAATTGAGGAAAAGAGCAGAATCAATAAGATTAAATTCAATACAGACAAGTGCAAAGCACTAAACTTAGAAAAAATAATCAAGTGCTCAAAAATGGGGGAAACTCTCTAGGCAGCAGTAAAGGCTGTTAAGGAAAACGAAAACTGGAATAGCAATTAACAAAGCAATTGCAAAGAGAAAAAAATGTCTTGTTTTATCAAGTACATTACCATTCAGGCACACAAGGTGATGAAACTGCTCCAACAGAACTGGTACTATTGCATGAAATGTATTAAGAAAATAAGTCTCTAATATTTATTTAAAAATGCAAATTCGCTGTAGTGACATCAATGAAAACTTCCAGGCGGAAAAATACCTTGTTTGATAAATTGTCTTTCTGGGCTTGAATCAGGCCAAAGTGCTATGATAGCACATGAGCAACTCAATCAAGTCACTCTATTGCAGTGATCCAAAGTAGAGTTTTTATTACAAAGAGCAGGAAAAAAAAAACATCCTAAGCTTCAGTTGAGAAGTAATGCCCAACAAGTTTGTGATTAAGCACTTGATATGAAAAATGTTGGCCCAGAGGTAGTCCCTCTTCCTTCTTTCTTCAGCTTGTTTGTCCCAGAAACAGTCAGACCAGCATAAGCACTGCTCTGTGCTCCAGAACTGGCTATATGGTGATGAATAACTTCTGCAATTGCGTTATACTTTCCACACATACCACTGAATTCACAGTGAAAAGTATCAGCCCGTATCATGTCTGAGGGTGGAGGCTGGCACAGAAAACAAGCCAAATGTGAGTACTTTGTCTATGTCAGCATAGTGAAATTTATAATTCAAATTTTAGAATTTCCCAAATTTCGTGAAAGTGGATTTGGCAACGCGTCATTATTTGTACAGTTTATTTGTATAAGGATAGCCCTCTGGAGCCCTAGTCACAGAATAAAACCTGACGTGTCAGATTCTAATACAGATGGAACAAAAAGGTAGACCAAGATTTTATAACTTAGTTATATGAGACAGACATGAGGATATAAGACAACATTAGTTTGGACACAAGGCAACAGTGTCAGCATACCACTGGCTCAACTGTTGTCAAATGTTCTACAGACATGGCAGCAAAAAAAAATTTACGAAGAAACTTTCTCTGATAGTTGCACTGTTGTTCCAAAGTAGGATTTTTAGAATAATTCTAAATTCAATGTAAAAAGTGAACAGATGTGAAAAAACCACTGTTCAGTAACTAAATAGGTCATTAGTTTTATTTAAATCTCAACTTCATTATCAAGACATCTTAATAAATCCATAATGATGGACTACTGTTACTGAAAGAAAGAAATAACATTTTAATCATGTTAAAACAAGGTTAATGGCTGGCCTAGAATACTCTAGACTTGTGGGTAACCCAAACTGAATTTCCTGTTCCGATTTGCCAGCCCCAGGAGGAGCATAATGATGATATGCTAACAGAAAAATACTCAAGAAAATTAAGTTCTTAAGCACAAAATTTGCCTTCTTCTAAAGAAAAAAAGAGAGAGAGAGAGAGAGAAGAGAGAGAGAAACACATACTTATGTTTGTATATATATGGGAGGTCAGAAAGGATGCACGTGAACAAATATTGATCAGAGAGCAGTTGGATCCAGCCACTATGGCCCTTACATGCTCACTGACAAATGTTCCAGTCGTTGTGGGATATGTTTTATCTTTTAAAATCACTATAATCTGTAATTCTTTTGAGAGGGAATCAGAAGTTAATGAGAGGGGTATATAGATTTTATTTCCTTTTGCCACAGCTGATGATGAACATGATGAACAACCCACAGTCTTTAAGGCCCAAAGGGATCATTAGATGCAATTTTTGTATAGCCTTGATGCAGCAGCCATTGCATAAAAAGTCTAAAGTTAGTTTTGCAATAGAATCTTATAATGCATTTTATTAATGCGTCTATTCATTATCACCAATTCACTCATAGCATTCTTCCACTGAGGAATTTCAATTTCTTGATGTTACGTTTGACTTAAATGGCCATAATAGTAGCCTATGTCTTTCTCAGGGCTCATTACCAGAGAGCTGTGGTAAACATTGCTGCAAAAAAATAAACACCACTGCATTGTGTTCTGCCAGATCCACAAATGCTGTTACATCTCTGTTCCTATTACAGTATTCATGGGTTTCTATTGCTTGTCCTATAAGATTTTGTTTAATGAGAAATAAACAGGTTTAGGAGGCTATTTCCCATCAGTGATTCAGGAAGCATATTTTTCTTCAGAATGTGTACAATACTCAACACACACAAGGGTCCCATTCTATAAATAACACCTTTCTGGCATCATTGCAAAACAAATTGCTATTAGGTGTTGTTTATTTTTAACAATTTATTCATAAGATGTCACAAATACGAATCACAGTGGGAAACAGCTGAGAGGAAAAGTAACTGCAGAGTGCATTGGGCAAAGTTTCAGAGTCACATAGCTCCATTTCTGAGCTGAACCTCCAAACACAAGAGATTTGCAGGAACTCTAGTAACATGAAGTAGTTATCATGGAATGGCCCAGTGGGACCAAAAAATGACAAAGGCTCAGCATGAGTCAAGCTCTAAACCACAGGTTGTGATGAGGGAGGTCTGAGATTGCTCTGCTATCCTGTATCAACCTCATGCAAGGAAGCATTCCCCGGAGATCTCCTCTCTGTCTGCAGACTGAAAGGGAATGGGCACTGACTTGAATGAAGACACATTACTTTGACACATCTGTTAAAGCTCATTGTTTTGCACTGTCATTAATTCTTTCAAACCTAGCCAGATATAGTCTGCAATCTAAAAGTGCCTGTAAAAAGCTCACCTTCTGCTAATATATCTAAGTTCAAACAGTATTTGCCAATTAATCATAGAATTATAGAATGGTTTGGGTTGGAAGGGACCTTTAAGGTCATTTAGTTCCAACCTCCCTGCTACAGGAAAGGACAAGTCCCTCTAGACCAGGTTACTCACAGCCCCATCCAGCCTGGCCTTAAATGCTTCCTAGCAGGGGCCATTCCACAACCTCACTGGGCAACCTGTGCCAGCTTCTCACCACTCTCACAGTAAAGAATGACTTCCTAATATCTAGTTTAAATCTACCTTCATCCAGCTTTAAACCATTTCCCCTCATCCTGTACCTACATGCCCTTATAAAAAGTCCCTTCCCAGCTTTCCTGTAGATCCCCTTCAGGTACTGGAAGGTCGCTATAACATCTCCTCTGAGCCTTCTCTCCAGGCTGAAGAGCTCCAGCCATCTCAGCTTGCCAGTTTCAGTACTCCGACAACATACATACATACATATATATATGCATTCTTAAATTCAGAGATGGTTTACTTTGTTCCGGCAAACACAGATCAGCCACGAGACAAAGCTGATATAAACTGAGGTGGCTTGCAGGTAACAATTCAAATTAAGAAGAATATGCAGTATTTCATATCCTTAGCCTAAACACTGAATATTTTGTATAAACACATGACTAGTTATCAAGATCACAAACATGAAGTGTAAAAATCTGCTTTAGTACAGGCTGCTTAGAAGGGCCAATTGCAGAGAAAATCCTTATTGTGTTTGTATTTTATTTGAAAGCACACCAGTGATCAGGATGCTGCAACTGTGAACAGTTTGCTTCTAACAAAAGGTACCAGGATCAGCTAACAAGTATGCACCTGACAGACAGACTAGTTGAGTATTAATAGCAGTAACGCCAGTAACTACAGAATGCATTAAAAAAGAAGATACTGCAATAGGACTCCTCAGCAAATCTAAAGGCAGAATAACTAGAAGTCTCAGTATACAATCTTAATGCATGCAATGATTTACTAAATTCCCTGTAAAAATTTACCTGAACAGAACATATAGCATTTTGAGTCTATCAAAGAAAATAAGTACGTATTCTACTAAATGAAAAATGTCTATAAATATTTTTCAGAAATATTGAGTATGATGTCAATGGATACTTCACATATAAGGCCAAAAAATAGACTGGTTAATCATCTCTGATTTTCTTATTTGGTTCAAACAAAGCACAGTGGTGTGGGGGTGAAGTTTTTTCTCATCAGAATGAAGCAGCAGAACAAACTGGTTTTAAATATGACAACATATCATCACTATCTGTGTATAAAATCTAAAAAACACTGCATTATGATTTCTTGAAACTGTGAACTAAATCTCACCACTGACCTAAAACCATTCAATTAATCCTGGTCAGTTTCTCAGTGAGCAATGTTTTAGCTAATAACCAAGCCGTTCACTTTTCTTCCCACTTCACCAAGCAAGGTATATACAGAAACATCTAGAGAACCATCTCCGATGAAATTCATTTGACCTAAAGGAAACTCAGTTTGTTCCCCAGAAGCTGAAAAGCAGAATTCAAAAGTAAATCACAAACTTGCTTTTCTGTACAAGTCTGCATTCAGCATCTGCAAGTCCACTCCAGGTAACAGCGCCTTCTTTAGTTCCTAAAAGTGTTATGATTATTGTCATTATGGTCAAATTGCTGTACTAATTTTTCTTACATAAGCACAGTTATGCAAAAAAGTATGCCTAGGAGCCATACATACATGATTTTTTTTTCCTCTATTCCATCTGATATTTTTAATTCACATTGCAGGTATTTTACAATGGATAGTCTTCTTTCCTATTTGTTGGAATATGATAATGCCCATTAGTATTTCCCTACAAGTATTCTTGCTTTATTCCAATAATTTTTACTATCTTCAGTGTCTAATTTTTACAAAAAATAAACTGCTTCAAATAAGCACGTCCATACTAAATCAGATTTGTAGTTATGTAGGAGTGATGTAATTAAAACTCTGAAGAGAACACGTAAAATAAAAAGTCTCAAGCTTTTATTGCTTAAATTATTGTTAGCCAAAGATAGTACTCATCTTTTCATTACTGGAAATGGAAAGGTGACAGGACATTTAACAATGAAGTACTTATTTTCACAGACCCTGTTCCTTGAGCAATAAATAGATTCATTAGGGGAAAAAAAAAAAAAAAAAAAGAGAGAGAGAAAGAAAAAAGAGGGGAGGGAGGGAGAGGAGGGAGAAAGGAGAAAATTAAAAAAAAAAAAAAAGAATAAAATGAGAAATTTTAAAAAGAAAATTTGAATCCTTCTATATTTCCTGTGTTCACAGTAAACAGTCACAAGGCAAGGGCACCTTTTCTCTTCTATGACCTTCATTGGATCAGTAGCATGGCCATATAAGATGCAATATTCACCCCAAAAGCTCAGAACAGTTATTACTAGTAGATCTCTCCAACACTCTACCCACACACATACACACCTTATCTTTCCATTCCTAAATAGGCAGTTTGATGGTATTAGATGCTCTGTACAGGCACAGGAGACAGCTGCATCAAATCCATATTAAGAAATTCAAAACACTCAGCCAATTGCAGTCTCTTTCCTAAGGCAATTTAGCAAGGTTATACTCTGTTAATAACTTATCTTCAGAAATAATGACATTTGTATTATAAAATTGAGAAAGAGAGGGCACTTTATAGATAAGTGCCATTTATTCAAAATGCTTTCGTGTTAGAAACCATTTTATGGGTGCCCTTTAGACACTAGCACATCTCTACATTTCAGCAATTATTCATCATTTACACATCCATAATTTGAGAGAGTTTTAAACTTGAAATGAATAAGAAGCTCACACCCTGCTTCAAATGGGTGAACCAGTCTTGATAACACCTCATATCTAAGAGATTCTAAATAAATTAAATAATGAGTGGGGAAGCATGAACCTTTCCTAGTCTGACTGTGAACACGGCGTAAAGTAGCAATAGTCACCCAAATCTAGGATATAAGACAGAAATCTGTCTCACAGTCACAAAATCTCCTGTTACCATAGTGATGGGGACTGAACAAATGACTAAAAATACCTGGTCTTATTCACACTGTCTTAGGAATGTGACCTAAATGACATGTAATACATGATTTTCCATCATAAATTAATTGCATTTACTAGGAGCCAACACTGAGAAGCAGCATAATGTGCAAGTACAATGTGTGGTCAGACACTCAAAGAGATCACCTTCATCTCAAGGATGCAACCTGAACAGAGAGATAGCTGGAAGACAGCAATATATATATATATGTATGTCATAAAAAGAAATCCCATGTAGGTCATTAACAAAGCAAAGGCACCAATTAAACATGGTTTTCTCTCACTAAAGTATTCCAAAAGTATTCTTCCAAAATGCTGATATATGGAATTTTAACCTCCAAAGTTCACCATCTGCAAGAACCTCTGAGTTGAGGTGGATGTAAAACTTAAGACAACACAGAAGTAATATAAACCTGTGTTTAGATCTGCTTTCATTCACAGCACCTACATATGTTATTAAAAAAACAAAAGCATGCTACCATAGAGGAGAAATGGGTAATGGCATTTCCCATCTCATCCTGTGAGGTTCCCAAAGAGGCTGCCTCCACAAGCCTTACCCAGGAGTTGCTGAACTGCTGTAAGAGCAGAGTATTGCAGGTTCTCCAACTGACTACTCCAGGAAAGAGGAAAGACAGAAGGAAGATGAGATGAGACTCTAGCTTTATGTGAAGGGCTTAATTTATTACTGTTTTTTTTTTTTTCTTCTATTTTTAAAGGGCAATGTTCTCCCTTCTGTTTACAGTACATTATGACTTGACTCATGACATCTTAATCTATTTACATTCATCTATTCATTTGCGAATATTTTTAAAATTTAGTTGGGCTTTGTTGCTTAAGAGTGATGGAAAGCAAGTACCACTGACATTACAAAGCAGGGAATAAGGCAAGTGTTTTTCCTGGAGGCACCTGCAAGTGCAGACCTGCTACAAGCCTTCTCTACATTCTCTTACTACATTTCAAGATATTATGGAATTGTAGTCCTGCATTGATACACAAAATGCAATTCAACAAAACGTACTTTAATTCATGTATAGGGATAAAATGATTCATTTCCAAAAACATCAACTATGCTTTTAAAAACAGTAGCTTCATGACGCAATGGAAAAAATGACCCAAAGTCTATGCTTGCATTTGAACTTTTTGTACCATTGCAAAGCATTTTTAAATAATTACTTGCCTGGAAAGACCAGCTGAAAGACCCGCTGTACTCCGCTGGCAGGTATAAAATATCCACAGTCTCTAAAAAATTCAGGTAGATGATCTCTGTCCATTTTTTGGCCAAACGCTCTCTTGGAAAACATTGCTTCATAAACTAAGAAGAGAAGATTCCATTAGATATGTGCTTATGATATGCTATTAGGCACCAATTTTTCTAGAAATATTTTCTTTAGGATCAAGTTAATTCGTTTGATAAACTAAGTATGGAAACATAGGCCTATGTGGAGATCTGATGATTGGTAGCTTGCTGATGGCTGAACTTTGCAGTAAAGTGAAACTTGCATCATCCTTACCAAACACCAAGGGGAACAGATAGGTTGAAAGAATTCTCTCCCCATCTAAGAATTTCTCAGCAAGGAAAGCTGATGAGCTAGTCCCTGCAAAACTAGGCTTGTAGAAAGAGGCTGAGGCAAGCATATAACTATAGTGGTTCATAGTCTTTTTTTATTTGGCAAACAAGATTAAACTGTCTACAATAGTATATTAAACTGTTGCCCCTAAAATTAAAAGTGAAAAAACTCCCAGTGTAAGACATTGCCTCTAGTAATGTCATGATGGAGATGCCTGTAGATGCACAATTAGAAAAAAAACAGAGACATATACATTCAATTATTTTTTTGACAAATGTAGTATATTTAAAAATATACCTTAGTCAAATACATTAACTCAGAGAGATAGCCATTGTGTGGTTAGTTTGCACTGCTCAGGGAGGATAAAGTATGAATTAAAAATGGAAACCCTTAGTCATCTATACTTTGAGGTCCACAACTGATCTACCTAGCCCACAGGTTTTTTTCAGAATTGGTGCCAAAAATCTTCATCCCTGAGAGACAGAGGATATCTGTCTAGCTAAATTTACTATCTATTAATAGAACAAATAATTTTCCTGTAAGGGTTAACAGAAATAGATCAAATTACATTCTATGCTATGTGTGAGCATCTGTAATGTCTGTTTCTGTCTTCATCAAAGAAGAGCAAATTAATGTCAATTTAGCATTCCAGAAAAACAGCATCTGCCTTTTAAGTCAGACTTTGCACTCTAATTTTTGAAGACCATAACAACAAAACAACAACAAAAGACAATATATACTGAACTGCAATATCCTGTCATATCTACAAAGATGCTTTGAAGGTATAATGTTAAGACTTCCTGTTAAAGCACCAGTGACAACAATTGAAAAGCATTTCATCAAAATATGAAGAGCAGTACAAATTTTTCAGTCAGCCAAAATCACCCAGTGTGTTATGAACTACTCAGCCTGGAAAAAAGATAGTTTTTCAGGAGGATATAGACTACATTCTAGGAGTTAATTAGTTTTATTGCTATTTTTTTCATAACATATTAGGGGAAAAACTAATTTCTGCATATAGTACTTAAAGTATATACATGCGTATTTCATATGTGGTGATAGAAATACCTGATTGTGGAATTTTGAAGTAAACACTGAGACTATGTCATCAATGTCCAGAAGCTACTTTTTCCAAAGATATAAAACTTTATGGATGTAGACTAAAAGGACTGAATGAAAATTGGAATCAAAATGTAAGCAATTAATACATTTCATGTTCAAAAGGTGTAAGAATCTATCAGAATCAACTTTTAGTTTTTAGTGGGTATTATATTTTTATTTCTCTGAAATGCTAATTTATACTAGAAAAAATAAACCAGCGCATCTAAGTCCAATGTAGAGTGTTGTTGTTTTGATGCATAGTTGAAAACTCAAAATAATTTTTGTTTTCTTAGTTTTTCCTATTAGGAAAGCTATTTATTGTACACTCTCATCTAATCTTAAATATCCTCTATAATGCAGCAGTCATGTCTTCCACTGGAAGAGGAATTTGAAGGTCAACAGATTACTTAAAAAGGAAATTTAGATTATATTTTTGCAGTCTGAACTGCTTTTTCTTTTCCTTAATATCTTCCCATATCATGTGGGTAATAAGAATGGCACAAATATTCATATTCAAAAGTATGCAAAAGGCAGTGAGCAGAGCATCTGGAGTTAAGGAACAGGTAGCTTTGATATTAGTCAACTATTTCCTTTTATTTCAATGCTTTTTGCTTGCTTATCATGAGAACTATCAAGAAAAGCAGCTTTCAAGCTAGTGACATTTATGACATTCATGCTCCTCCCAGTCACTGAAGTTTACCTGTTGTGTCTGTCTATGAGTTTTGTAATATGCAGATGAACGATAACATGTATTCTCTCTATTACACTTCCTTGACTGTACAGGAAAGTCATCAAATAGGAGAAACATATCAAGTGTACAGTTAGTTCCATGTATAAAATTTTCAATACATAGATTGCTCAAAAAATCTGCAAAGGGACCTTCCTTTCAAGTCATTAGAAATCCTCCATTGCAACATGACATGTTGTTGCCAATCACTTAACAGTTATTGGTCTAAAACTCACATCATGTTGACACAATATTGTTAATTTCTTTAGCAAAAGACTGAAAGACTCTTTATTCAAACTAAATCCTACAGTTCTGAAGTCCTGGAACGACATCTTAGAAATGCAGCTGTCTGTAAGGGGAAATGAAGTCTGCCTTGTGCCAAAAACCATTAAAAAATGATTGTGTTGCGGACATGGAATATTGCTTAACAAGTGCCAGACTACTGGAATTAAAATAAACGTAATTCTGTGTTAAATGCAATTACTTACATTTTTTCTTGTCCATCCACTCCTCTAATTCACAATAATGAAGTGGTGTAGACAGATCCAAGACACCAGCTCGACTTTTAATGCGTGCCATCATGTTACGGTAACGTTTTACAGCTGCTAGTAAGGATGACCCATGACTTGCTGACTGTAATTAAAGATATTTTTCACTTTCATTACTGTAAGAAGGGAGTGAGAAGTGACAAAAACAAACAAATAAACAAAAAAACAGATGAGGAGATGGAAATGAGAGGTGTGCAGCATAAAAGAAAATCTTAAAAGAAAACAAGAATAAATTCCACTGCTGTAAACACTTGGACAGATGTGTGAAAACTCCACAGAGCTGATACAAAATAGTCCATTCCAGAGCTGACTAGGTAAAACTATTGGATAAAACTATTTTTGGATAAACACATTTTATTCCAAATTACAGAAGTAGGTCAGGAACTGGGTAAAAAAAAAATACTATCTGCAGAGTCTGGGTGGAAGAACAAGGTTCTGTATCTCAACAGAGGAAAAGTGGAACAGTGAACAAGGTGAGAAACTTTATGTTCAACATTTGTTTTTTGATTAAAAGTATGTCATAGGAGAAAAAATACATATTTGTCTCCTGCAGCCCAGAAGTAGATATCAAGACATGTAGTTTTACCTCATTGTTAATTATATCAGCAGCAAAAACTGTATATAAAGTGAAGGAATATTTTTAAAGGTTGATGATTACCAAATAACATGACCTGATTTTTACAATCTATTTTAGGATTTTGGAAAACTAATAAAATAGATAGTTTAATGAATGACTCAGTTCCTACTTGACCCACTTACTTCAATGAGATACAAGTTTTCTTATGGCATGCTTCTGAGACAAGGGGCTTAGACATCACTAGAAAAATGATATCTGAACTGAAGTTGTACAGCCTCCACAAGCACCCAACCTGCAATATGCATAAGCACTTCCAACTTGATATAAACTCTGAGATTGAAATCAGAAGTATTGTGGCATCGGTCTTGCATCATTTCTCAGGAAATGACATTTCATTTAGCAATACTTGCTGAAAAACAAGAACAGTAACTAAACTGTAGAATCCATGTTTTTTGTTCACTAATTCAAGCATAAAACAGAGCTGGAGGAAGAAGAGTGCAATAACAGTCTGGTATCCATAGCTTGTTTACCTCAAAAACTGCAAGTCCTTTAATTAACAATACAACACGCATATATAACAAGAGTATTTAAAGGCAAAAGAATCATAGGTCACACAGGCTATTCTCTTCTAAAAATAATGGAGAGAATTCTTATAATCAAGTGATAGAAACAGGTTCCAGCAGAGAACTCACTATCTCACTATCACTGAATTAGCTCTGACCTTGAAGGTGCAGAAGAGCGATGGCAGACAAACTAGCTGAGCACAGTTTTTTTTTTTCATTGCCAAATAGTAATAATTCTTACACTACTGGAATTTAAGCAGTACATGGATTAAACAATCAAAACATTACCTTAATCTTTACTCTCTTGTATGCCCTACGTACAAGCCACCCTCTCACATATCTTTGAATGCAAATGACTGCTTTAAGTTCTTCTCTGTTCCTAGGATGCTTTTTACTACCACAAACAGCTTCAAAGATTTCTGGGTGAGTTACATTCTTCCTTAGCTTCTTCTGCGTTTGAAGGGAAAGGCATTTATCACTAGAAATTAAAGTACAGAAAATTTGTTTTTCAGTTTGGTAGAAAAATGTTTGAAATATGAATCAAAATTCTAGTACACAAATTTCAGTTTGCACTTAAAATAATTACAAAATCACATACAAACCTTTCACTTACATGAATATATTGAAAAGACTGAAATGCAACTGATAGTGATTTACCATTTACAATTACAGAATAACCATCCAAATCTATTTGACAAATATTTTGTTATAGATGCATAGATATGCTGAATTGCCATGTTTTTGTAAACGATAAGGATTAAGTTACTATTTTAAATATTTTAATATTTTCAATTCCTATTCAAACACACAGCTTTTTCCACCCATCCTAGGAGCATTCTAAAAATCATAACTAACGTGAAAACCACTTTTCTGAAGTAATGACTTTGAGTCAGGCTAAAAATATATATATATAATATATATAAATATATAATATAAATATATAATGTATATAAAATAAATATATATATTAAATATATATTAAATATGTATAAAATAATATCTCCAGTAGATAGACACTCTGAAACCCTTAAGTATCCCTCTATCTGAATGCTAACTTTCATAGCTTTTATTAACGTGTTGGGAAATTAGTCAGGAAATTTTCCACTAAATTTAAAAAAAAAAAAAAACAATCATTTTATGAGTACATAGAAATGTGTTAAAGTCAATCTTTTTCATAAGAACATACAAAGAAAAGCTATATTGGAGTTTTTCCTTTCAAAATAAGATAGCAGAAATACCAGACCCAACGAGATATTCAATAATCTGAACTATATATGTTTCTGTCACGGAGAAATTAAAAAATCATATTTAAACCTAAAAATATATCAATTTTGTCTTAATTAAAAACAGACCAAAAAAAACAAGAAGTGAACTCTCTAAAGTGGTTAATCAAAGCACTAGATTTTGCATTTGAAGCTGTGTATCTGGCAGAAATGTAAACTGAAACATAGCTGAGGATTTTTTCTCATCTAACACATTTAGAGCTTTCTTTTTTCTCAAGGAAATAGTCATTTTTATAGTTAAGGTTGTAAGTAACTATATACTGTAAAGTCAGTTGCAGTTTTACTTACTACATCCAGATTACGCCAAGACTAAACCAACCTGCTTGAAATATAATTTGTTGGGAAAATGTTTTTTGATGCCTGGTCTTAATTAAGCAAGGTGTTAATCAGATAAAAATGCTTGAGATACAGAGATCTAAGTGCTACTCAAAACCTTGTGATTTTACTTCCTTGACTGGATTTTTATTTTGTTGTTATGTAAATAGCTTAGATGATGAATTCCAAACTAGGTATTTTCTGGTGTTCTGCAGCACTTTCTCCTTCTAGCCAAAAGCCTGCAAGACTTTTAATCAGACCATCTTTTTATAATTAAAAAGTATCATTTGCACTTATTCATCATTTCAGTTTGTGCCACAAAGAAAAATCTGTCCCATAAATCTTGACCTCTCCACTGACTAAAATAACTTCCAGGTATTTCATATAACTTCCCACTGTGGGACCACAGTCTCACCACTCACAACCTGATACACCCATTGTATCTTCTCAGAGTGAACAAAAAATTCATCTGTCAGCTTAACTCAGCTCTATACCAAAAATATTATTTTTCCCAGAAATTATAACAGAGTGCGACCTATTAACTTTTTTGCAAGGTGTCAGAGAAATTGCAGTTTCTTGAGTTGCACAGGGGATGCCATTAGTGGACTCATTTCCATGGCCATTTCTAGCCAAGTCTAGCCAGTTTGCAGGTAATGCTTATTTACTGTCTCAAACATTAGGACATCCAAGGGCAACGCTACAGAACAGATAAGATCCACTGTCTTCAAAGGTCAGGGACATCATGATGTCGGATGCACAAGAAGGGAAGTACCTGATTTATTAGATAAATGCACATAAAGAATGCACACAATATTTCTATTCTGTTGTTTGTTTTTCCAAATTTTGAGAAAAAGGTTATCAGAAATGATTATCTACGTGAGAGGGCAGGTCCCATTCTGTTAATTTACAGGAAGAAAAATATGAGAGCTTTTCTTGGCATTGTCATCAGATTTGTATTTTAGATACAGTTTGATTTTTTAAGAAAGCCCTCAAATCACTACAGAAGTTGGTAAAGAGATGTAGGTGGAAGATACCTATGGAAGATAGAGCACTCAAATGTAAGGAAAGAAAGTCTAACATCAACAAATATTAAATTAACTCTTTTTTTTGAAAACATGTTTCAGAACAATTCTGAGTCTGCAACTACTGGAAGATATGGACAAGTGCTTGTTTGAAATATCAAGCATACATTCAAGTCTTCACTTAACTACAGCAGCTGCCTGCACTACAAATGTGTTTGTAGAATCAAATTCATTCTGCAGAACTGATGGCAATGCATTGACTGGATCTTCCTACTGAATTATGCATATGGCAATTTTTCTATCATCTCACAATTTAATTTCATGCAATTTACATATGCTGATTAATACTGCACTGTAAAGATGTATTTAATATAATCTGGCACTGGTGTATAAATAATGTCTTGTATAGGAACTTTGTACTTTTCTTAAAGATTAACTTCAGTTAATGTCGTATACCAGTTACACTGTCCTTTCACTTATATATATAACAAAAGACAAATACTAAACTACCACTTGCTTACTGCAATTTCTGTCAGTTACACTACTTCTAAATAAGCTCTCTTATGACCAAATTTGTTGCTTTATTGGAAGAAAATAGCTAGACTAGAAAAAAAAGTATGTTTTTATTTAAAGAGTGTTTAGAACATTCTAGGTCAGAACAAATACCAGGCATGATGTTTGAAGAGGACATTCTATCAAACGATCAGTTTATCTACATTAATATATATTTCCATCACTTATAAATTGCAGTTCAGATATTGCTACTAATTAGTTTTGGCTGATACTGGAGTATTTTTTATGCCCCATTTATAAAAGCTGTTTGCCCATCTGTTAATAGGTTGGAAGTGATTAAAGGACACTTATTTTGGCTGTTGCAAAGGCCAAATCATTTTAAAGCTGCAAATACGTGACAAAATCAGCTAAAGATTTGCCAAGTTCAGGACCTGATTTTCCTAAAGGTTTGTGGTGTCTGCTTCCTCCCCCTTCTGCTTGAAGTATGTTTGAGTCCTCAGTAAACAAATATGAAACTTCAGCCTAGTAATGATAGGCCACACCTGTTAACTGTCTGAATACCTATGCCTTCTCTTCTTGCCTATTGTTTCTTCAATGCAAATAAAAGAGCAGGAAAGTGAGAAATAGGTGAATTTAGGTAATATCAGAGGAAAGACAAGACAAAAAAATAGTAAATTGTATGAAAACTATAGTCACGTAGAGTGAGCTGGCAATCAACAGCAAACAAAAATCTCTAATAACAGGAGACTTGTGTGTGCCATTTTTATGAGATAATTGAAGCCTTCCATTTCACCTTCGGAAGAGTATTTCAGTCACATATTTAACTTAAACAATTATATGGATAAGACTCATGCAAGGAGCTGGAATAACTCCTGCATAATATTTACATCCTATGGCCTAACTGAATGCAAATTTCACATACTAAACTATATCCTGTTCTTTTTCCACATACTCATTTGATGTTTTAAAGTACCAAGGTAGAACTCAAGCTGACCCTTATTCCAGGAGAAAAGTAACAATGGAGATGTGAAAAGAGTTTTCAAACAGATATTCTAACACTGGTTGGTCTGAAATTCCCTGAATAACTTACTCTTTAAAAAAATTTCAAAGGTAATATCAAAGGGAAAAAACTAGTTACTAACTGTAGACATACTTGCTCCATCTGCAAAATTAATTGTATAAATGAGCAACATGAAGTGCCACTGACGTACATTAAAGACATACCAACTTCATTGTATTTCTCTAATGGAAAATCTGTCAAGCACATTCTTTAATGATTATATGTCTTAAAAATTCAACAAATGAAAGGATTACCACTGAAATCGTATTAATCGGCAGAGGATTAACAGCCTACTGTTGAAAGACTTCATGAACTGCAATAGGAGATGATCTGAAATAAAAAATGCAAAGAGCTCTGCACATAAATAGTGCAGAAGAGCTGTAGATGTTGAAGCAGAAAAAGCGAAAAAGGATTGAACCAAAGGCTACTGATGTGAATAAAATCCTTCAGTATCAAAACTAAAACAAAACTGTAAGAAACATGCTATATACTGTAACATCCTCACTGCTTGTATACAGTTTACTCATTTCCTTTCTAAGTTTGTGTAGCCAATTGTCCTCTCATTCTCACTTGTAATTTCAACCACATTTAGATACATTATCTGAAATGTTTTTCAAGAATGAAACACATTGTTATTGACCATTCTGAATCCAATGGAAGACTGAGAACGAAGTCTTGATTTCCTCCTGGTACAGTTTTCTTTAATGGTTAGGAAGAGTTTACAAAAACCTTTAACTATACACAGCACAGCAATAAAAATCTGGGCACACATATATTGTTCTACCTTTTCTGTCTGTAGAACCATAATGAAATTATGGCCAGGCATTTCCTGTTACTTAATGTCTAGAGTTAATCTCATCAAACCTAATACAGCAGCTATCCATATTCATGAAAACACTTAAGGATGTGTTTGATTTTAGCTTTAGTGCAATTTTAGGATATGTCTGAAGTTAGGCACATACTTAAAATGCCATGCTGAATTGAAAAGGAGGCAATTGTACGCTTACCTGAGCTAAAGTTAAAAATTAAGCATATGCTTAAGTGTTTTGCTGAATACAGATGGAACACTGAACGGGAGCCCAGTGATTACTCACAAGTGTCAGTATGTTCCTAATCCAGAAATTATCACTATACAAATAAAATCTGAAGATATGAATATACATAATCAATGTATGGCTGTCTAGAATTTTGATGACCAACTAATTATAATTCTTGCAGACATAAATAGGAAAGATGATGAAACACTGCTTAAATTCAAAGACATATCCCAAATTATTCACTCAGGATGTTCACAGAAGACAAAATATGACAGTAAAACAACATAGATGCATAAAGAGAAGCTGTAATGACAGACACAACAGCTTTAACTTTCAGCTGAAGATAGTTTTCAACATTATTGGGATTTAGTTGATCTTATAGCTTGGTACTAGAATTTTCCCAGTATTCTGAGGACACGGTGATATTAAAAAAAAGATCTGTTTCATCAGACCATATGAACCAGAACCAGAATCGTCATGCTGAGGTTTTGCAACTTAATGACATTGAAAATCTATAGATTCTATTGGAAATAATGTAAATGCATGACTAAGACCCATTCATGCTTCCTAATTGCTTTGTCAGTTTAAATATGAATTTCACTAAGAAAAAACATTGGAAAATACATCTGAAAACAAGTCAGTTTCATCTGCCATTTTAACAAAAGATTAATAGGAAAAAAAGCACCTCATTTTTTTCCTTTCTAGTTTACCACCCGATGCAGCACGTTTCTTTTTGTTGGTTTGGAAGTCTATCTGGAAAGACAGAAGAGACGAAAGATCTAGTGAATTAGATGATAGGTACTCCCTGTTTATCTACCTTTGGTTCTAATTCTAGCATTGTCTTATTTAATCAATATGAAAACACACAAATACAAAATGTTTTTCCTCATAGAACCACTTGTGTAGATGAGGTTGGTTAGTATTTGTTGTGCTGTATTTCTGTTCTGGCTAACTCTTAAAAAGGATACATCCTCTGGTAAAAGAGAAAAAACAAGATATAATGGAATAACTATAACCCATCTCATTTGCCCTTCTCTAGTATGAAATATGGCTTTTCTCATATACATTTTCATGCTGTATTTACTGATGAATATCACATACTGTTTTTACAACCCATTGATTCAGTATCATGAGATCTAACTAAAAGCTAACTGAGCTGCAATAAAATCTTGAAAGCAGGGGAAAGGCTGATAAAAAAAATAATGATCTCTGCCAATCTCACACTTAACCTTTCAGACACCTTTTCTTTTTAGGACAGTCTGATTGGCATGCAATATATTAAGGTATGCATGCAATAGGGATGTAGTAAGAACTATGTCCTGATCAGCAGCCAGCTACATGAATATTTTTATGTTCTTGGTATACTCCAACTAGATTATCGGTAGTACAGATCATATCAGGAATCTCCCTGTCAGTTAAGGACAGGGGATTCGCACCTATCCAACTCACAGACAAGTCCTATTGATTCCATGCTGCCATCCCACACACTATTGGCTACATCATGGTCCCTAGTCTTGTTTCACATTACTGAAACTAGAGTCTCATGTGTAACAGTTTACTAGCCTATTATCTACCACCTTAGGTTCTACATTGCTGCACTCCTGTTATCTCAGACCAGTTCACAGTCATGCTATTCTCCCAGTTCATGGCATAACACTTCCTCTGATTCTTCTTCTGGCCTGATCTGCTTGGCTTCTGTCATTAATTGTCACTAACTCCTGACGTCAGCCTCTCTCCACAGTGCTATCTGTCTCAAGACATGCAGATATGAAGATGTTTCCTGTTCACCCCTAAGCTGTTTTTTTTTTTCCAATGCACAACCTCCTACTATATTTTAGAGTCGATTTAGTGATGAGTGAATTTGAGAAAACTAATCATAATTATTCTAAATTCTGAACTGTGTTAAAATGCCAAATTTAGAAAAAATCCAGGTATACGCTTTAAGAGTACGTTGCTGCACCAAACATTTTCATTAATTTTGCAGCCATCAGAAAGTTTTGATAAGCAAACAACAAAATATGATTTAGTTCAAAAAAATCTTAGTAGTATGTGCTAAATTAATGCTGGCAATGCATTAAGTATATCTTAACCACTTTTTCAAGAATGATATTTAGCAAATCTACACACAGAGCCTAAATGTGAGACGCTGATTACCATTTTTTAATCAAAGGCTGCCAGTTTTAAGTTTGCAAGTCAGTGCACAGACTTGTATTGCAGATTTCATCCACTGAGGGATTGGTTACCCAAATGCTAGAAAAAATACATTTTTTTTTTTTAACAAAGCTACTACATTTCAAGTAAATGCTATTGTAGAAAGAGGGCCTGGCTCTGTACATCCTTTAATTTTGTTGGATTATCATCAATCAATTAAATGTTATCTCCAGGGAGAGTTAAAATGAACGTGCGTTATCAGGAATAGCCTTATTTAATTTCTGGTTTTTATAGTTATGTGGTTCTGTGGTCGTTTATTTAAGAAGTTGTCTGTTATTACTGAGCAGCCTTGGTCAGTTCAAGTGGTTTTCATACTATTTTACCATATTTTGGTAAAATAGGTATTTTTCACACCTGTTTTTGACCCAAGAATCTGAGTCCTAAAATGATTCCTTCCAGACTTAAAGTGTTTAATACCCATCATTTTATCAGTCCCATTCATTCATTTGGAAACCCTGCCCAGCATATGAAGTGTATGATGGCAGGTAGCCTACCTTTTACTTCATGTTGTGTAATATCAAGACAATGTCTAATAATGCCACCATGAACGATTTAATATGAAGATGAGACTAAACTTCTTGTGTAATTGAGATGTGAATTGATGATTTTATACAGTCTGAGTGTTAATACCAGCTACTTAGGAGAAAATAGGAGAAAAAAAGTGGACGTAGAAGTGAGATACACATACTATCTGCATAAGACCTCAAGAGCCATTCTCAAAAAATGAATTTCTGGGCAAATGTACAACCATAAAGTGATTTTGCACATTTCTGGGTATAAATGTCTTAATTCAGTGCAAAATATATACCTGATGACTTCCTAAGTTGCTTCAAATATATCTTAGTAATGAACATGAGATTTACCTAATGCTACAAGACATCATCTGAGCTATTCTTGGGTTCTCCAGCTGTGCTTATTGGTATGTAATGCTGATAAAGGAAATTAATACACTACTGAACACATGATAAGGATTTGCCAGGACCAGATCTCTAAATATATTTGATATAAAAAAAATAAAGTATCGAACATATGTAATCATTGCTTATTTCAAAAATGGACAGTTTAAAAGATAACCTTTGATCTGCAGTCTGCTACCCACATAACCTAATGAAGCAGGGAGAAAGCTATTTTTCACCTTACTTTCTTAAGCATTCTTTTTCAAGTATGATATACCTAACGTTACTTTCTTAAAGTAAGTTCGCCACTTAGTTTGAAGTATGTGCCCTATTAACAGCAAGGAAAATCATATCATCAATCCCTGAAAAGCAGATGAGAAATATACACAGAGGTTTTCTTGGCAATCTGCACTCGCCATGATATTTGATACACTGCTACAACAAAGGAATCAAATGGCTTTATCTTCTCAGAATCTTCCACACAAGACAGCACAGTGAAGCATGTGTTCGAATCAGAGGGAGCTGTTCTCACTTCACATTATGATGAGCCACTTGCCAACTGAGTTCAGCCTCCTACCTCCCAATTGCAGAAAGAATTTAATTGGCTATTGCAGCAATCTGTACTCTGATAAGGTTGCTGAGAGGAGGAAAAAAAAAAAAAATAAGGAAAGCCTGTTTCATTTGAAGACTGCAAATAATGTTTTTCTTCTACAATCCTCTGTTTGTGCTGGTCCACCTTCTCAGCATGCAGACATACTTCAAGCAACCATTACTCCCTCTAAATTTCCTATTTCTTCCTGGGGCCATCCAAAAGTTCACAGTTCCTTTCCTTTCCTTCCCAAACTATCTTTGAAGTCTCCAGTATGCAAGTCTTGTGGTTTAACCCAACAAGAAGCTAAGCACCACAGAATCACCTACTCCCTCCTCTCCCAATGGGAGAGGGGAGGGAATTTAAAAAAAAAAAAAACAAAAACAAAAACTTTTGTGTGTTGAAATAAAACTATTTCCTAAGATAGAGAAAAGATATAACTGTTATGAATATATATATATTTATATGAATGCACAGAACAAGGAATGCACAAGCAATTGCTCACCACCCACAGACTAATGCCTACCTAGCCCCCAGTGAGCAAATAGAGCAAGATGAACTCCCACTCCCTTCAGAACTCCTTCTGCATCATGTCATATGATATGGAATACACCTCAGGCCAGTTTAAATCAGATGTCCTGATACTGTGCCCTCCAATCTCCTTGAGCCCTTCACTGAGAATGGCCTTGACTCTATACAACACTGCTTAGCATCAACTATAAACATCAGTTTGTTTATATCAATTATTTTTCCCCTAACAAATCAAAACTTAACAATTGTACCAGACACTCTGAAGAAAAAAAATCCATCCCAGCTGAAACTATGACAGTGCCCAGCAGCTTGTACATGCTTTCATCTGAGGCTGCCTCCCTCCTATGAATTCAAAGTTTTATTCTGCCTGAGACAAGTGTGGCCTGCAATAAAGACCTTGCTTCCACTTCACAAGCCACCTGTTATCTTCTTCACCAACCTGCCAACTTCTCTGTTGCTTCCCGGTCCTGCTGCTCCCCAGCCCACTGTGCCATCTGCACAGCAGGAATTCAGAGATAAACTTACCAAGTGTTAGAAGTCTCAGCTTTGTCTCAGAGATGATGCTGTTTTGTGAGCAGAATAATTATTCTGGAATAAAAGTAACTTTTATTTAAGAATAACGTCTGCATGGAAACCTACTCCAGAACTGGAGTAGCAAACTAATTTATCTGACTCTAGTTCTGCTTGTCTGCTTCTTCTTTTATACATGAACTATTTCCGAATAGTAACAGTTTTCTTAGTAGAAGAGAATTGATATGGACACAATCATTTCATTAATCTGCAAAAAGTATAAAAATAATTTAAACATGAGTAACATTTCTAATATTTTTGTAACTGAGGAGAAGCTGAAATGCAGCATTCTAAAATTTGTGGTTCTGATGACTGAAAAGCCTTTTAAGTCTTCTGTGCCAACATAATAATAATAAAACATTAGAAATGAAACCATAGATCACAGCATCCCAGAAGATGTTGAAGAGAGTTGTATGAAGCACTGAAAGAGGTGACTAGGTTGCAACCAGAGAAAAGATCTACCTTGTTTATTATAGCCAGTATTAGGTACCATGCTATAGAAACTCAAGACTTTAGTCTTGCTTTCAAGGTCCCAAGATGATGAACACTGATACAGGGTAATCATTAGCCCAGACAGTTACCAATTGCAGTAAAAAAAAATCAAGAGGCAATAGAGAAATACAGACAGGTGATGTAACATGAGGAAATAATGAATTGATTTTGATTAGCATGATAGATAACTGTCACAGTACTTAATGACTGTAACTATTGAACAGACAATATGGTTAAGATTAATCTTAAGAATGAAGAGAAAGTGCATTAAAGATGATGTTTTGGACTATCTACAAAGAGTTTCTGGCAAGTCTACCAGGTAGCCCAGAAAAAAACACCTACAGTAGCATGCTGGAACATTAAACCTTGCATCATTCATCAATAAGAAAAATAGAAGCTGATCACTCTATTTTAAATCAGAGATCATAGAGTGGAAAAGGATGTTTCACATTTTGTTCAATTCAGATTATTATGATATCCTGTCTAAACTGGTGAATTTGAACTATGGAACCACTCTGCATGATAAGCAGTAGAACTCTTTATCAGCCTTGAATCATAATTCAAGCTAATTCACAGCTAGCTTTGAAAGAGCTTCAGATTTAAATAACTGTCTCTTATTTTAGGTTGAGTGCAAGACTGTAGTAAAGTGAAAATCACAAGCAAACCAAGCTATCTCAGTACTTAAAACATCACTATTATATCCCTTTCCCAAAGAAAAAAAACCAATAACTAAAAAACAGATATTCTGGTGTGCTAATACCTTATCTACAAGCAATCTTTCTTTCTCATGCACCTTTTTGGAAAAGATTTTATTAACCATATCTTAAAGTTTAATGAACTACTCTTACTGGTTTTATTTATCAGAAAATACATAAAAGCCATTTTAAAGAAACAACAAATGCTTGTATATAGACAAGCAGAGCTTCAGGCACTTTCTGAGCACTGTCACTGTTTTACCCAGATTCATAAGTCATACCAATCTATGTTGTCTCTTCTCATTAACTAAAATACAGTCAGACATGCAAATATTCTGAAACATCTTTGTTCATGTGAAATGTTGAGTAACAAATATGTCTGTGCATGCTTTCTAGTCTTTCTTCCTCACTTCTTGTCTATATTTTAATAGATTTTCTTCTTGCTAGATTAGGTACTATAGCTGATTTCATCACATATAAATGCCATGAAGCAGTGCAAGTAAACTTGGTAACTCACCTACCAGGAGTACAGCTATTGTTAATAGAAAACTGACTTGAAGTTAAAAATAATTTAAAGGATGTCCTTCAGAATCAGCTATAAGAACAACCTAACTGCATTGGCAATGAAGGCCTATCATCAATGCCTCTGTGGAGGAGGCATCCTAGCTATGTTATCTACACAAAGTACCATCATGTTTTTGGATCATGAGTTCAGTGCAGGCTCACTCATGACATCAGAACATTTCAAGATTTTGTAACTTAGTTTTCTTCAGTTGCAAAACAAAATCAAGAGTCTAGTGCAATGGCTAAGGATTCACTTAGGTTGCTGGAAAGTCATATAAAACAGAATGCCCTGAATGAATCAGCACAGTGATTTTCAACTTCAGCCTATCCAAATAAACCCTTTGCAAGTTTGGTTTCAAGAGTGAGTAAGCATTTCTGTTTTTCTCATTTTCTCCCCACAGCAGACATTCTAGGCCTTGAGAAATTATTCTTGACAAAAATACCATTGAAACTCATTTCAGGAGGAAAACACACCAGCTGGAGAGTTTCAGATTTTGCCTGAAGGCAGGGTATATTTATCAGTCATTTGCTCCTTGTAGAAGAAATGTTTGCTTATTCTTGCTAGGATAAGAATATTTTCAATAAATGCTACACTGTAGTCAGCCTTGTTTCCTCCTAATGCAATTGTTTTCAGCATAGCTAAAATGACCTTAACATAAATTGTAACTGTTAAAACTCTTGTTAGCCTCTTAAGGCTGAACTACAATGTTGATAACGACATATAACAGGCAAACTTTCATTTAGCTTTTAGTCACCATCAATCTAAGCTTGTATCTGAGACTAAATATCCTTGAGCATGCCATTAATATTGACAATAGACTTCAAAATACTGTATTTTCATTGAATTACCTATAGAGACATGCTGCCACTGTCCCTGTCCCTGGAATCTTGTATCATTCTCACCATTTAGTGCTGCTTAACAAAATATCTAATGAAATATTACCAAAACAGTCCTCCCAAAGCATATTACCTTCAATAATTCCATTCAATATTGCTAAACTAAATTCTAAACTCTGTGTCTTCATGGATTAGTATCATCTGAGAGATCTTCAGACTACCATACTTCCTAGTAAAGTTTTCAAACCGGAAGCAACAATATGAGGAACCATTTTGCAGCTAACTTCCAAATACTCACTTGTAAAACACAGTTTAAGACAGAGAATGAGGACTCCCCAAAATACAAACATGATATGTTTAATATGCTTAGAAAGCCATGCTATCACGTGCAGCGTTAAGTTGTCCATCAGTATGGTCACCCAGCACTGACTGCATTAAGTGCAGAAAAACGGCTGCTAGAATAATCAGTGCAATGAAGGGTGTCTCAGATGAGAGGAAACAAGAAGTATTTTGACCTTTTTCAGTCCAGAGAGATAAAGTCTGACAGTGGACACAATTGATTCAGGCAGGAGTGGGCGTGACAAGTCAAGAAGGGAGAAGAACTGTAACACCGAATGACAATGTTGGCATGATACAAAGTCAGTACAAACTAGCCATCCCTAAATTTAGGGTGAAAGCTGATTAAGGTTTCTAAGTACCAAAAGAGACTAGAGCTGTTTTCCCACAGAAGTACTAAAGTGTTTAAAGAAAGAAATAATAACAACTAGGTAAAAAACATATCTGGTATATGTAAATGGTACAGTCGCCTTCAGCAGGAAAGTCCTGGATTTATCAGATAAAAACGTATCTGTTCAAAGTCACTCTCTTTTCATGAATTAACAGAGTCTAAGGACAGTTTACAAATAGGACTGAATTACAGTAAAGAAATAAAAGTTTGCGTTTATACAAAGCCTATGTTCACAGTGCTTTCCAAAGAATACAGAGAACAATTATCCAACTGTATTTATCTGAGGATGAATCATTTAAAAGCAGCTATAATTATATGATACTTTTAAGGATAACATCTCCAAGATCAAGAGGTGATAGAATTTCAACTGCCACTACCCAGAATCCTGTCTGACTCAATTTAAGTCATCAAACCTCCTCTCATCTCCTATATTCTCTTTATTCACAGTTTCCTTTTTAAGAACAAAAGAAACATTTAAAGAAAAAGGAAACCTTCCACTCTTGTTTCTTGCCAGCCTTTCAAACCTCACAAGGGTTTTCCAGCAGCCTAAATATATTTACAACACAAGCCATTCAATGATTATATGACCTATTGACTTCTAAGGTCAAAGAGAAAAATTTAAGTATGGAATTTATATCCAGCAGCTGCATGCTATCTCACAGTATATTTAACATTTAATTTTTGTAACTCAAAACCATACAAGGACTTCGCATAGCCATATATTTACAAAACTTAAATACACATTTATTTATGGACATAACCATTTGTAACTACAAAAATTTGAGAATCAATCATCTTTGAAGTGTTCAAATATTTTTAAGAAATACATGTTAAAATCACTACAAAGGTATGGTAATTTTAGCTACACAGTTAGCACGCTACATTTCATGAGGTTGGGTCAAATAAATTCATCCTTAATAGGCATTAGGATAAAGCTTACACTTTTGGATGCGCATTGTAAATATCAAATCTGCAAAACAACGATAGCCATTCCATGATGATGTAAATTCTGGAAACCTGTGAAAAACTAGTTTGTCCATGGTAATTGGTTGAGCATGGTTCTCCTAATAATTGAAGAATACCTACTAAGCTAGTTATGTTTTGGCCCAAAAACTTGGCTACTGCTCTAACTATGAGCTTTGTTACTGTGCTTTGATAACACTATCTAGACTATAAATTCTTATGTAGAAAGTGAAGTTTATTAAAATATTTCTAATCTGTAATGTCCACAGAGTTTATCCATCCTTACTAACACTCAGTCACTTTACATACCTTCTTCAGTCTCATGTTTTTTTGGCTCATCTGATCATTCTCCTTCACAGGAATTGGTGCAACCACGCCTCTCCAGTCCCAGTATGATTTACCTGTTGAGAAGATTTATGTGGTTTTGAAAAACGTATCACTTATCTATAAATTACATCACATTATTTATTTGCATTCAAGTTACTGAATTTCGAGTTTCAAATTTGAAACTGGAATTGATATCTACCCATTATAGGATGAGTCAGGAGTTTCCAAAACACATTTCAAATGTTATCATGCTCATTTTGTGGACCAATGAGCAAAATCTCAAAGTCAGCATCTCATAACACAGCTTTTAATGCAGTCCTTTCAGTATTTTCAAAGGAAAAACTGAAAGTCTCATTTTATCCAGATAGCCTCCATAGAAAGGCACAAAAGAAGCTCCGCATTCTTCCATTCACCTTAGCATGGCTTCCTGTTCCTCTCTTAAAGCTCTTGGCTGCAATGTTGGCTGTAAAGCCTCCTCTTCTTTTGTCTCCTGAAAATTACCTAACTTGTATGCTTCTTTCAGATTAAGGCTGAAAATGGGAACAGAGCTGCTTTTTAAAGAGCCAGCCTGATTTCATCTAACTGCAACTCCACCGAAGTCAGTGAAATGTGTGTATCTCACGCCAAGTCACAAAGTAGTTCTTACTCTAATATGATAATTTCTTTAAAGTGTTCCTAATGGTAAAGTACACATACATTACTTTTCGAAGAAAAACTATCCCTAGCACCTTCAAGTATGCTGAATTCCTTTCCCCAATACAACTTCTTTTAATGAAAAAAGCATACATTACTTGAAATCATGAGTTGCCAGATTACATTGTAAAATAAATCACTTAGCTATCAAGTTCTCAAAAATAAATAATCTCACATTTTTTTGTACAAATGTACAACTGTAAGCAGTTCTTTCATCACATGGTAGCGATTGTTATGTTCTGTACAAAAACACAAATTTGAAACAGTAGAATGCTTAACCTGTATCACAGTAATTTTGATACTGACAGAGTGAAAGAATTTTCTTACTCCTTAGAAGAAAACACAACCTTGATTTCAGTGAGTGCACTACAATATCAGGGAAATCAAATACCTCAGTAGATTAGATCACATTTCAGGAAAACCGAATAAAATTTGGCAAGTGAAATGAAAATGTTAAGCATGCAAGTTTTGCCTATTATTCACATCAAAACAGAGCAGACATAGTAAAAAGAATCAACATTCTTTTTGTCCAGGCCTCATTCTCCAAAAACAGCGCACTTTAATCACAAGAAAATTTTAAATGTAAATAGGTACAGAGATATCTGCAGTCTCTTCACTGAAGGGAGCAGAGGAAGATGGAATTTCTTGATCAATTTTTTCATTTCTACTTAGCATGAGACATGCATACCTGTTTAACCATTCACTTTCTGTAGCATAATCATCTTTTCTGAAACTATTTCCAGGGGACTGTAGAAGAACCATTTTTCTTCTGCCACATGTTTTTTGGAATGCTGTGACTAGCAGACTGCGCAACTGTTTATATTCGTCATTAGCAAAACAGTACGCTTTCTTTTATTCTACAGGTCACAATGATTACATTTACTGACACAGGAGCTTATACCTCTATCCAAAACCAACAAAAATTCTGTAATTTCATTATGTATTCACTGATGGAAAAAGATCAGAAGCACTAGGGAATGAAAACTACAAAAGCTGTGCTACAAATGGTTAAGACTCAGGTAATGTTCATCCATTTTTCTGGTCTTTCAGTTACTCCCTTTAACTTCTACCATCTAGCATAACTGGTGTTCCTGCAGGGAAATGAAATAGTCTCTTGGCTGCTCCCAGGAGAGGTGAGTTTATTAAATACTAAATTACTTAAGATTGAGTGACCTGTTAGACTGCAAAAGAAAAAAACAGCAAATTAGGTGCTCTGTATGTGATTGAGCAGGCACAGTGCACCATTAGAAAACATGCAGCTAGACAATATTTAGCCCATATTTGCAATAGGAAACAGGATTTGAAGATACAGCTCTTTCTTTTACAGCTTTTATAAATTTGGTTAAGCACATTTTTTTAGTGGGTTGGATTTTACAGCTCTTGACTCTCTCCATGAATGTCTAACTAATGGAATCCACTGCAAAGTTCAGTTATTTGAACTACTTCTAGAAATCTCAATCATCATGGAAATACTGCAGAGCATTGCTTATTGCCTGTCTTTTTATCAACCTCTCCTCTACTAAATGAAGACATATATGAAGAATGCCTGATATAGCTTAGTAAGAAAGATAAAGAAATTCTGTAGTTTCCACATGCAATATCCTAATGCAAAGACGTTGGAACGTGCTGGGGATCTCTGTTACCTAGTTTACTCACATAGCTCAGAAAAGTGATTTTCTGTTACCCACAAAACAATTACCTTGGAGCCTGAGAATTTAATAATTTAATAAGTATCAGCATTAACAAAAAAAAAAAAAAAAAAGTTGAGAAAAAATAGGTATATATCATTTTGCAATTCTAGAGACCAGTGCTTCAAAACTCAGTTAAAAAAAAACAAACATTAAAAAAAAAAAACTACCCAAGAAAGAAAGAAATGCACAAATTCCTGGTCATTATACTTTCTCAAGTAACACTTCTGAATTAGATCATGACCATTTTGATCTCATGTACTTTTTCCTAGTCTCTTCCCACAAAGAGTGTTTCAGTAAGATCAGACAGGAGGACTTTTAACTTCCATGGGCCCTTTAAAAGTCAAAAATTGTTGTAGAAAGTTTGTGATACATGTATCTGTGCGATCCAGTAATCAGGTGAGAAAAGCCAGAGTTTAAACAAAGCTTCTCCCATAAGCACATTTTCCCAGTTCCTCTTTTAATTCAGAAATCAATGTTGGAAGGAAGAGGAGGAAGTTAATGAAAACTCACAACTAACTACTTTCCCGTAAAATACATCTCATTTTAATCTATAGTACTTACAAGCAAGTATTAGCTAGATGATAAAATTAGAACTTTATTATTAGAAGCGCTTAGATATGATAGACATGATTAGAAGTTCATTGTCTAAGTATACGTATAACTTAAATGAAGGATGGGGCTAGTTTAATAACATAGTGCTAGAGAATTAATTTGAAGAATTCCAGTTTTGTCCATGAAGTCAGATGCTAAATGCTTTCAGAGTGAACAGGAAAAATTGATGGCCAGGATCTGGAAATATAAAGCAATCCTAGAATGCATGAAGCTCATACTGAAGTTGGTATCTATTCTGATATATTTTACACTGACAGTTTAGCATAAATAAGTTGTGGCTCATCAGTGCAACAAATGCGAGATTCTGTTCCCTTCTAGATTGCAACTTCCATTACTTTTATTTTAAATAAACTTCCATAGCAAAAAAAAAAGAAATATATATATATGTATTTCATATATATATTTATTATATATTTATATACTTACTATATATAAAATGTATTTTATATTTAGATTTATTTATATTTATAAAAAAATATTTTCTGTCTCTCTGATGACTGACACTAAAATAGAATTACAATATTCTTGTGAAAAATTATAAAAATTTACATTAATTTATGAAATTTTGCAATTTACCTGTTGGAAGCTACTTTTGTTTTCAAAAATTAATCTGAAAATGTTTGCTGGTTAGCTTTTTTCCTTGACACATAGTTTCTTTGAGACCAACTGTAAAAGCAAACAAACTCAATTGGCTACTGGGGTTCTAAGCAAAATAAGAACTTAACTTCCATGCAGATCAGTAGAACAATTAAAACCTGATGAGATTTCCTAAAATGTCCAGGACTCAGACTGCATTTTTACATGTCACAACATTACTGAAGTCTGACTTTCTAGCCACTGGTTTTGTTCTTTTTGAGAATACATTTGCTTGCCTATTTTGATATGGACAACGCCACTTCATAAAATGAGAGCCACCTCTGCTCATACATACATTCTAGAGCTATCATATTTCAAAAATTATTATTTCTATTCTCAAGCTCTTTCATCCTCTGTCACTTAGCATTTCAACTTTCAACCTATGCTAGCCCATTTGACTTACTGCATTTTTACCCTATATTTACCAGCGTAAATTAGATTTAACCAACACACTATTATTGCACTCATCTTTATTTTCACATGCAGACATATATTTAAGTTACTTCAGAGCTTATTAAGGTTTTTCAAATGCAAGAATTCTATTTTTGTAGTCTAGCGATTATAGAAATTCTTAGTTCATTTCTTACACTCCTACTGATTCATAACTTACTTTCTTTTTTACTGATTGGCTTGTCGATGTAGACAAAGCATGAAAATTATTTTCTTCCAGCTAACCTCTTTTCCTCAACAAAAGCAGGATTGTTACTCTTCCTAATATCACAGCTACTGCTGGAAATATAATTCCAATGCCAAATGGCCAATGTAAGATGCAATTCTCCTGAATATAGAAACAGCTATTGAATTTGCAGTAATTATACCTTTGGTGTCAATTGTATCAGCAAGTGTAAGTAGAATCATTGAACCTGGAAGGGATCTTAAAGACCATCTTGTTCCAACCCTCCTACTATGGGGGCACCAGCCCTCTGATCATCTCTGCGGCCCTCTTCTAAACACACTCCAACAACTCCACATCTTTCTTGCGTTGAAGGCCCCAGGTCTGGGGGCAATATGTGTCTGGATGAAATATTTCTAGTGGGCCCTCATATGGGCAGAATAAAAGGGGACAATCTCCTCCCTTTCCCTACAGGCCACCTTTCTTTTGATGCAGACCAAGATGCATTTGTTTTTCCAGCCTGTAAATGCACGCTGTTGATTTGTGTCAAGCTTTTCATAGAACAGGAGTTCCAAGTCCTTCTCTGCAGGGCAGCTCTCAATGAGTTCTTCCCCTGGTCTGCACACATCTCTGGGATAGACCTCACCCAATGCAACATTCTGTATATAGAATCAATCCTCTCTTCCCCACAGAAGTTGTATTGGTCCCCGCCAGACAAAGGTTATTTGCTAGAATTCATCTGTCATGTAATACAGCCAGGTGTTGTAAAAAATGGTTGTTTAAAATAGGAATATATTCTTCATTTCCTTTCATTAAAGTATCAGAAAAT